TCAAAATTGAGTTGGATATAGACTTCTAAGTTTTGAAGAGTGAGGAATGACCAAAGGTTGTATGCAATATTTCATTAAATTTTTTATTTTTGGTATTTTTTGGTATTTCGGTATATACCGATCCCAATCTCGTAATACCAAATACTGAATAGTACTCCAAAATGAATCTCAATCCCTAAAAAATAAACCAGTATTCGGTAATATCAAATAGTGATAAATTCGGAGGATATTCGGCATATCGCAAACATCGATATCAAACTTACAGCTTTATCTACAACTAACTTTTGATTTAGCTACGCGCTACAACCCTTTAGATTTGGCGAAGATTAAACAAACTCGAGTCCCGAAATAAGGAAAAATGATGAAGCTCAACAAATGGGCTCTGGCCTTCGCATTGGGCTGACATCCTTAACTATGCAGGCCCAACCTGGAGGGATGGGGATCATGTTGGCCATTTTCATATAAATAGCCCAACACAGGAGATATTCACATGGTTGGACCATCAAAATTGTCTACAATCAGGCAAGCCGGTACAGTGGGCACATAGACACATACAAGAACCTTTTCCCCCAAAGATATACCAAAAGTGAATACAATATATAAGAGGACCTTTGTAGATAAAAATTACAAGGTAGAATTAAGAAAGAGTCGTTGCGGGTCGACCTACTTTGACCCTGACCCGATGAGAAAAATGGGCCGCACGCATCCGCCCGGTCGACCGCTACAAGGTATTGGGTTGGAGGTCAAATTGTGTCATTTTTTTCTTTGGTTTGCGAAATGCGCCTATTTTCCGATTTTTCTTTTTCGCCTAACTCAATCTTTGGAATCCTTAGTCGAACATTTGAATATTGATGTTATATAAGTGTGTGAATTTTCGCTATATGTTGGATCTAAATACAATATGTTACTTTGGTGTAATATTATATATTATTACTCATATGTTAGATGAGATTTGATATAATTTATCAGGATAAGTACAATATAATGACTCTTTTCATATTTCCGGGATGAAACGGGTGACCCATTAACCCTTGACCCACTAGCTCGACCGGGTCCGGGTCAACCCGCGGGTTGACAACCTTGGTCTATAGTCTATTAACTGACGTTTCAACAATGAGAGGGCTTGTTTCGCCACAAGATAGACATCCTTATTATGAAAAATGTGAGAAAATGGTGAGAAATTGAGAAGGGAAATTAAAATTGATAGGGAGTGATAAGAGAAAAATGGTGTTCACTTTTGAAAGGAAAAAGAGACATAATAAGTGCAAATGAAGTTTTCACTTAAAATTTTGGAGATGGGTATTGGTTAGGGATGGCAATTAGGATCCGACTTGTTCGATTTTCCCCGATCTGACCTGTAATGGGGCATATCTTATCCGACCCGTTTTAGAATAGGGCGGATCGTGCCCCGATCCGTGAATAGAACAGGACGGATATGGATAGCACAGCTGACCTGCTCTGGCTCCGCCTCGCCCCTCCGTTCCTCTTCCTTTTATTATATTCCTGCCAAGGCCATAGATATTCCCTCCCCACTTGCTTCGTCAATCTCCATTTTCCCAATAAAGCTTCCTTAATTGATATGGTAAAAATAAAAGTTCCTTAATTAATGCTCAAAAATGCCCAGGGCATTTCACAATATGTCTCATTTATGCTATTTTAATTCCCAAGGTCGTCTCTTTCATTCCCAAATGCAAGTTGTGGTAGAGGTTGCAAGAGAGAAGCATGAGATGGTAGAGGTTGCAGGAGAGAAGCATGAGAAATAGAGAGAGAAGGAAGAAGAAGACTAATAGTGGAAGCAAAATGGGAAGAGAGATGAGGATGCTAGTAGTAAACGGGGCAGGTCGGATTTTACCTGATCCGTGCGGGGCAGTGTTTGGATCGAAAAGTCTCAACCCGTTACGGGGCACGGGGCAGAGCAAATCGTGGAGTTAAACAGCAGGGCGGGGCGCGGGTTTTGGGGTATCCGCCCCAAAGTCCACCCGTTGCCATTCCTACAATTTGTACAATAATATTTTCCTTGTGAACTAAGGGGAAAGGCATGCATGGAGTGGTGCGGTCGAATAATTTAAGAGAGTAATAGCTATCACTAGTGATTGTATGTTACTAGTTAGGGGTTTGCAACTAGGGTGAACAAACATACCTGCAAACCGACCCACCCGTCCAAACCGACCCAACCCATCCGTATTTATCGCTAAAACAAAGATTTTGGGTTGGGTGAGGGTTTTGTTTTGTTTTGTACAACCCGCCTCTTTTGGGTTGGGTTTGGATTTTGGATTACACAACCCGTAGAACCCGACCCAACCCGTGTTCCAACTATTAGTATGAGTTCGTATCTAAAAAATATTTATGTCGTATATAGCCATACTTATGAGAAAATTAAGATATTTCGCCATGTTTTTCTCTCATGGTCTCCCTAATCTAATGCATTATTCGACTTAAAGTTTAGACATAAATTGAATATAGTTATGATTCACGTAATCGTTTTTCTTGTGTACAATTTTAATAGAATAACATATTGTGGGTGCGTTTGTTTATAACCTTTTTAGCCTATTTCAACAAATATCGTAAAAAAACTAGACATATTTTGAAGTAAATCACATTTTATTAAAATTTAAACAACATTTGTGAATTTTGATACCTTTCACCTGGTTTATTCATTTGAAACTTTAATTAGTTATAAAATATTTTTATGATGTAGAATAATTATATATTTTATGTTGGGTTGGGTTTTTACTTAAAAATATCGCCAACCCGACCCAACCCAATTAGAAATAAACCGTAGGGTTTAAATTTTTTTGGGTGGGTTTGGGTTTGATATTTTCCAAACCGTAGTGCATGGGTTGGGTGATAAAATGGCTAAACCCGCACCACCCGACCCATGTACACCCCTATTTGCAACGGTTTGGTCTGATCTGGACCAAACCAAACTCATGAGAACCGCGATCCAATAGTAAAAGATATTTTAGGATTGTGGATGGACCAACCTCGCATTCGGTCTACTTTAATCCGGTTTGGTCCGGTCCAAATGTCACTTCAATTCATTTTTTCTTCTATATTTATAAAATTCATAGAATCAACGACCATACCACAATATATTCACTTCGGTATAGTCCAGTCCGAACGTTGTTTTGGTCTGATACGACCCAGTACATACCAACTCATCGCACGCCCTATTACTAGTTAAACTCCAATTATCCCATTGAATATTGTTTAAAAAATCATGAATATTTATGGATATTTGTAATCATAAGGGTTGCAAGTTGTAACATAAGATAAATAATTAATAAACAATTTGACATGTGTCAAATCTCCTCTCATATCCAAATATTTGAGGAAAGTTCCAATTGCATTTGTAATATAAAACAAACAATATGGCACATGTGCCAAATCTCCTCAAAGAATATAACATAAACCACAATCTATAGTAAAGTTCCTATTGCAATTTGCATGTCTCCTTTTAACAATCCGTTTGTTACGCCTATTCAAAGCACCCACACACATTCCTTTGCTCTACCACCACCTTCTTTCAACATATAAATTATCTCCCCTTCATTCGTTCATTCATGCATCCCCACAAAATCTCAACCTCAAACAAAACCATGGCAATGATAACAGAGATCTCCCGTCCATTCCCACTAGACCAACTCATCACCATCTTAGCAGAATCATCATTCCTCCTTAACCCCAAACCCATGGCACTGCTCATCACTCTCGTAGCCGCCATTGCCATCTACACGATCTCCTCCACCTCCAAGAACGTCTACCTCGTCGATTTCGTGTGCTTCAAGGGACCAAGAACCCACCGCGTCCCCACATCGACCTTCATAGAGCACGCAGAGATCATGTCCAAATTTGACAGGGACACCATCGAGTTCCAGACTAGAGTCGTCGAGCGCTCTGGCATCGGCAACCAGAGCTACCTCCCCACAGGGATCCACATGCTCCCCCCAAGCACATCATTAAACCACGCCGAGGAAGAGCTCGAGATGGTCCTCTTTTCCATGGTCCACGATCTCCTCACTAAGCTCGAACTCAACCCAAAAATCATCGGCGTCGTGATCACCAATTGCAGCATGGTCTCCTTAACCCCTTCCCTCACCGCGATGTTAATCAACAAGTTCGGCTTCAAGAGCGACGTCAAGAGCTACAACTTGTCAGGGATGGGCTGCAGTGCTGGATTGATATCTTTGTCGCTGGCTCGAGACATCCTCCGAGTTCATAAGAACACGCTGGCGCTTGTCCTTAGCGTGGAGGCCATTTTCCCTAGCGTTTACGAGGGCAAGAGGAAGTCGATGCTGCTGGCGAACTGTTTGTTTCGAATGGGAGGCGCAGCATTCTTGCTGTCAAATCGTCAGGTTGACAGCAAGGCGGCTAAGTATGAGCTGCAACATATAGTGAAAACTCACATCGGGTCCAAAGACGTCTCTTACAAGTGTGTAATTCAGGATACCGACGATGAAGGCCACACTGGGGTGGCACTGTCGAGGTCGATCCTGCAAGTGGCGAGCGAGGGTCTGAAGACGAACCTCGCTAACCTGGCTGCAGTGGCGTTGCCTTACTCCGAACTTATCAGATATGGAATCTCGATGGTTTGGAAGCGAATGAGGGCTGGAGACAAGGGAGGTACGACGAACATGCCGGACTTCAGGAAGGCTTTTGACCATTTCTGCATTCATGCAGGTAGAAACTTGTATTAAGATTGCATTCATGTACTGGTTCTATGTTGAAACTCAATTTGGATGACAATATATGCAGGTGGGAAAGCCGTAATTGATGCTATGAAGAAGAGCCTGAAATTGGCAGATAGGGATGTGGAGGCGTCAAAGATGACACTCCATCGGTTTGGGAACACATCATCGTCGTCGATTTGGTATTCCTTGAACTATCTAGAGGCAAAAGGGAGGATTCGAAGAGGTGACAAAGTTTGGCAGATAGGGTTTGGGAGCGGGTTCAAGTGTAACAGTGTTGTGTGGAAGTGTATTTCCAAGATGAAACCAGATCATGGAAATGTTTGGTGTGATTCGATTGACCAGTATCCATTGGAGGTACCAGACTCTCACTAGGTGTGAGGACCAATTGAACAGAAAAGCAACACACAATAAAAAGCATTCATTTTGAGTGCACATAGCATCGAAACGAATATGTACCTTGTAGCCGAAGTAAGAGCATGCATGATGAACCTTGAGTGTGGAAATCATGATGATGTTTTGCGTGGAGCTGAAAAGGCACACAATAGCATCCGAATATTTTCTTCTGTCCTGTATAAGTGTTCAATGGTGACATATCGCTGAATTAAAATGGTGAGATTACTTGTTTTTCAACAAGTTGCCAGAAAAAGAAAAATGTAAAATGTAAAATTCTAGTTGGGATAAGTTTGATACCAGCTTTCTCCCTAACTGAATCAACAACAGCTCTTACCTTGCAATGATACTTTTGTTCCCTCTTCAACGATACAACAACAACAGGTATGCCCTACGGTAAGTCAACGCTCTCCAAGCAGCTTCCCAATCTTGGCAGCAACCGCCACATGTCTAGTATTTTCCATGGACAACCTCAGAGACTTCTATTGCGAACTTACAAAAGATGCTACTGTGGAATTTAGTGAGTGAACAACTGTCGTTGACACGAATTTGTTGCGGAAATGCATTTTTAAGGCATAGGCCTTGAGATACTCTGTGATTCTAGGTGGTCTAACTGTTGGTGGAAACACCATCTTGGTACTGTAAAATATCATCACGCGCGAGTAAATTTCATAACTTGAGCAAATAGGGTTCATTTTTAATCAACCAGCAAAAGCAAAATACAAGTTCTTAAAAGAACAGCATTGTGTAGGTGAAACTTGGAAAGCTCAATCTGGTTCATTTTTTTCTATAAAAACACAAAGTACAACAATTTCAAGGGACTCAACTTGTTCATCTCTTCCACATAATAGAATTTTGTGACAATCGCATTATACCAATTTCAATGATCATTCAGGCATTTTATCGAGCATGTGGCCGACATACCAAGCAGTAAATAGCGGCACCCGCCAAAAGAGAGCGCGAAATTGGGCAGGTTCACACGGGCATTTTCTGTAAAGACGATCAGAACGGGATTAGCCGGAGGCACGAATTACATCAGTGTGATCGGAGAATGTCTCCCGGAGAAAATCAACAAAACTACAGAAGTAGAGAAGCTCCTGTGAAGTAGGGAAACAATTGTGGAAAGAATATAATTGCAATCAAAAGACCTGATTTCCATTGATGTATTCGACAATCTTTATACACTATTACAGGAGATACAATGGAGGTTGTTGAGAGATTGAGGGAGAATGTACAGGGAAGTTTAGGAGTAGAAATGTGTAATTAGGAGAGGTAATTAAATAAATAAAAAAATAATTTGTTATTCTTTTTTTTTTCTAACTAGCTTGGACCCGATCCGTTGGCCGGATTGTTTAGAATTAGTTACAAACACTAATCTATTGAATGTTTAAGTTAGAACAAATTGAATGTTTTCCTTGGTCTATGTTCAACAACAAATTGAATCGGTAAACCATATATACTTAGTCACTTTACTTCTATGACTATGATCCATGACTAACCTAATTGAAAGTGAGAGCAAGTGATCAATGCACTTGACAACAACAACTTTGTAAGTAAAGCATGCTTTTTGCATTTTCTCCTCAAATAAGGAATTCTTTTGAAAAATGATACAAATACCTCAGTTTCTTATTTTTCCGAAAACCACTTTTTAGCTAATAAAATTTTGTTATTACAATTTGTCTAGTGACTTAAGTTAACAGTAAGAAAAGATTATAAAAAAATCACCTATAGAAACATAAAGAGTGGAATAGAGTAACTTACAAAATAAATTTTAGGCAAAATACACTTTTATAGCCATAACTATTCACGTTGTGACAATAATAGCCACTTTTTGAAAAATACACAGATATAGCCACTTTTTTCAAACTTGCTTGACAACTATAGCCATTTCCGTTATAAACTTTAACGCCGTCACTAACACCGTCAGTAACCTCTGCGTGTTGCTGAAGTGGATGCCACATAGACAACATGTAATTGCCAACTGGACGCCTTCACACCACCTAGACGCCACATCATATTAAAAATAATTTTTAACCAAAAACAATTCATTTATTAAAAAACAAATAAAATATTTTAGAAAGAAAGAAAATATTTTAGTTTTATTTTCTCTTTCTCGGCGGCGCCGCAGCTCCAAGCATCCCTGAACAAGATGGATCTCTCGATTCATCGCAAAACCCAGTAATCCCAAACTAACGAACTCGAAAGTACTCTACCATTCCTTCGCCCAGACGATGGAGGCTTTGCGATCGGAAGGGACATATGGATTCGGAAGTTCGACGGTCGACGGGGACTGGAATTTGCATTTGAAAGATGAGAAACAGAGTGGATTTGTTCTTCCACCTCATGTAGCCGATGCAGATGAGTAACCCATTATAGATCTGCCTTCCGGCCGCCGCTTGGAATCGTCGTCGAGCTTCTGTCAGATACAGATTCACAACCGTCGGCGCCTCCTTCCAGTCCTTCGCTGCTTGGCATCATCGTCGTTCGGCGGCTAGCGCTACGTCAGATCCAGACAGTAAATCCAAAAAAAAAAAAAAGACGAGCCTCTAACGAGAGATGAAAATTGGGATTCCGGGGAGCAAATCCGTCCATGGAGCTCATCCTAACTCAGTACCTGGACCAAATGGCCAGTGCGGAGGCGGCGGGGAAGCAAGTCGTCAGGATGGAAGAGGAGAATTAGGTTATCAGCGATGGTGGCGGAGAGAGGACGAGGACGGAAGTGGATTTTCCGGCGCGGAGGAATCGTTGGAGTCGGAGGAGCTGAAAGAGTCGGAAGCGGATTATTAACTATTGGGGATGAAAATAGATTTGGATTGAAACGATTATTGATGAGAGGAAATCTTGCACTAATGCCTCTGCTCATCTTCCGTTCTCTTCTCTTTCATTTCCTTTTTTTCCCCATGTAATTACAGTAAAAACTAAAAAGTCAACACTCTGGCAATGGGTTTGAAGAAAAGCCGCCACATCACCATAAAACGTTTGTCCAGTCAGCATTTGTAAAAGTGCCGTTAATCTTTTGGACGGAATGGCTATATTAGTGTATTTTTCAAAAAGTGGCTATTATTGTCACAACGCGAACAATTATGGCTATGGAAGTGTATTTTGCCTAAATTTTAGTATAAGAAAGACAGAAACAACGCTATGAACTTATTAGCTTAAATTCATGCACCATACTCATTCAAAATTCAGACGCATGGCACTGAGTAAATATTTTGTTGTGCCTACTTACCTTAGCTTGAATCTAAGCTGTAATCTTGGCAAAAATAATGACATCATAATTTAGAGGAAAACAAATATCATGACAGCCCACAACATTGATTGAAATAGAGAAAACACAAAGCAACCATGTTTGTAAGTGTATTCAAAGCAAACACCAAACATAAATTCATCAAATTCTGCGGCAAAGAACAGCACACAATGGTTCCCAACTTGAAACTAACAACCTAAAAAGACAACAATGTCATTTTGCATATCAGCACATACGTAGGTGTGAGGCAGTCTAAGCCTTGAACAGCTTCACCACAACCAAATCACAACGATTGGCCACATAATTCCAATCTACCACTTCAAGAAGAATCTCATAATCATTTCCAGGAATAGAGGTCAACAACTCCACATAGTTGTCCGTCGCAGCAAATTCCTCATGACTGACAACATCTGAAACGATTCTTCTATAGGCAGAAGAAGTGAAAATGGCTTGCACAATCATCGATGGATCCTGTAGTACAAAGTGAACAACAAAGTAGCTTGTCTCACTACACCATGAAGAACTTACATACTTCATCGTTCCTACAATCATATATGTATTTTTCCGAGAGCAAAAGAATAAATAATTACTATAAGACAATGACAAAGGGGAGGATCAGTACGGGATATACATGGGTGAGAAACTAAATTTAAGAGAGATAATAAAATACCATATTCATCAGGTTTTGTTGAGCATCTGTCACTTCCATCAACGTTGCTATCTCAGCTATAGCCAGTGCTTCCTCGTATGTGATATCATGCACCAAATGCTCAATTTGAAGAGGCTCAGGTGGTTCCCTAAGTATAAAAAATGAGAATTCAGAATTACAAATTAAGGAAATGAAATTGAATAAAAAAAAATCATAGTTACATTGTACTCACTGGTCCAAGAAAGGATGAATTACAGGAGCATGAAGATTAAGAAAGAATTGTGTAGCACGGGATGCAGTAAATCCATATTCCCCTGTGTTCAATGTAAAGGACAACAAAGATAACCATTGTAGAATAGTTAGAATGTGGCTCGACCAAACTGGCTGGCTAGTAATTAAAAGCACTATTATCATGTCAATTAGACCTCAACATCAAGCATTTATTAAATTTTGCACTTTGATTTATCACACGAAACACTCCATGATGGTGATGGGAAAATAAAGGATTAACACATGGGACTAAGTCGTATTTAGACATTTCATAATTACACACCACTAATAGAGAGTCGAAATACGAAGTCCAATTCGCTTACAGCGAAGAGGAAAACCAGGATACAGAACATGCATGGGCCCACAACTCACAACAACTCCAACTAAATTTATAAGAAAAAAAATGAGCATTATAACCTAAGATTTCCAACTCAACAATGATATCGTATTTTGAACAGGACAACCGGCAATAACCTGAAAGGGTATGCGAGTTTTCAAACGCAGAAGGAAACGACACGACGGCCAGGAATCAGAAGCTCATATTAGGGATCTTAGGATCATCACCCATCAACTCCAGCTCCGTGTCTCCACGAAAAGCAATATGAAGACCGCGAGGGGCAACTCTGTGGAGGGAAAAGTTTTCCTCAACAACAAAGTGCCTCAAAGTATACACATTCCTTCATGAAAATTCCCAATAAACCTTCGAACATCCAGCCACCGAACAATTTCCTCCATCACTTTTCCCTGTCAACAAAGCCGTCAAAAACCTTCTTACCATGGTAGAAACAAAAATTAGCCTAGTACAGAAGTAATAGCAGAAGTAGACTTACAATCTGTTCAATGAAGAACACCTTAACGTGTTCAATGGAATTGCCATACGCCGTGAGTTTCACCCAAATCCTCAACAGTACCTTAACATTCCAATTGCCACCATATGGCTGCAGACTAGAAAGTGTGTGCAGAGACATTTTGGCAAAAAAAAAAAAAAAAAAAAGGGAACAATAGAAACCAAAAACTAGTAACTCCAAATATAGTTGTTTATATAGCTCTGAATGCAAGGGGAGTTACCTGCAGATACGACAGCAAGTAAATAAACTGCTATCAAAACTTGAGCAATTAGAGGGGGACGTGGGTTGAGGATTCTACCCAGCTATGCCGTTACAAATACTTCACCCCCATCGGTGCGCATAACACGAAATTGTGGGAAGAC